GTTAGGGGTTCTGCTGGTGGCATGGTGGTTAAGGTGTTGGACTCCCACGTGGTCAACCGTGGTTTGAATCCCACACCTGGTAGCTTGCGTTCTTGCTTTCTCTCTCTCTCTCTCTCTCTCACACACACACACACACACGCACACAAATTAAAAAGATAATAATAAAATTAAATAAATAATTTTAAACACAGTATGAGTACACAAAAATGAGGATGGAAAAATGAGGATGGTGAGGGAAGCAGAATCCACTCACAAACTGAAGACCAGAGTGCTGCTAACTCACCTGGTCAGTGAACCATCTGATCTGGATAGGCTAGGTAGATGCATTCCAACAGAGGTACACGGTGTTCAGATTACCCAAACGTATATGCTTTAGGTATCTAAAAATAATTTTTACCTTAATTTACGATAATTGGGTTTTTATTCTTTTTTGTTTTTTGGGTTTTTTTTGGATGGAAAAATGAGGATGGTGAGGGAAGCAGAATCCACTCACAAACTGAAGACCAGAGTGCTGCTAACTCACCTGGTCAGTGAACCATCTGATCTGGATAGGCTAGGTAGATGCATTCCAACAGAGGTACACGGTGTTCAGATTACCCAAACGTATATGCTTTAGGTATCTAAAAATAATTTTTACCTTAATTTACGATAATTGGGTTTTTATTCTTTTTTGTTTTTTGGGTTTTTTTTTGGGGGGGTCGTTTATTTGCTTGTTTTGGGTATAGGTTGTGTGCTCTTGCCAGAGAGCATATGTGTGTGAGAGAGAGAGAGAGACAAAGTGAGAAAGCCCGCAAGAGCAATGGCACGCAGCAATCTCTTCCCCATTCTCCTCTCAGGATTTAGGGCATGCACACATACATGCCCAGCATGTTTTTCAAGATGCGAAGTCTGGGACTTGGAGAACCTCACAGTGGGCCATGTGAGATCAGTCACATTGACCACCATGCCACCCACTGGCCCACAATATCTGCTTAAAGGGGATATGAGTCATAGAGAAAGTCATAATTCTTTCTGCCTCAATTCTTTATCCATGAAATGTTTACCACCTACTTTACATATTGTGAAAGTAAAAGAGAGAATGAGGGCATGGAGGTGTCAATTTGATGGGAGCGAGGTGGAGAACTACAGAGAACCTTGTTTTGATGACAACAGTGTTCAGGGCAGAAGGATGGAAAATACTATATGTTCCAAACAGTGAGTTGCCCCAGATGACTCCAAGAGGCAAACATGAGAGGACGAAAAAGCTGAATGAACAAACAAGGAACTCAGGAACATGAGCTAAAGGGAGCCCTACGGCTGCACGTAATTTTAAATTATTTTTTGAGTGAGAGAAATAGTTTCAGCAATCCCATAGTAATTAATAAATGCCCTTCTAGAATTGTACTTTCCAAACCATAGGTCCCAACCCAATGTGAAGTCAATTCAGTGGGTCTGATCAACATTTTTTTTATAAAGTTTGTTTATCTCTTCTATGAGTGTGAGAGTGAGATAAGGAGACAGACAGCATCCCCAACAGGGTCTCTACTCCTAGCCTCAGCCAGCCCCAGGCCATAACTCAAGGAGGTCTTTAGACATGAACTTAAACTTTCCCATGTGAGTCAGTCAGCCTTGAACAGTGTTGGTTTTATCGCTGAGACCCCATCTGGCCCAGCGTTTTTATTTTTAAGAAGTAAAATTAAATAGAAGGGGAAGTATTATTCATGGACCTTTTAAATCAGATGCATATTCATTTGCATAGGCATACTGAAGTGTGACATAAATCATATCTATTGCTAGGCATCAAGTTCCAAAAAGTGCAAAAGTTCCTACTTCAGGTGAAACAGAGAAGAGATACTCGCAGTTTGCAAGGTTCCAAGAATCCATTGAAAGAGCGATGGGCCAGCCCCATGGCCTAGTGATTAAGGAAGCCAGATCCCACATGGTCAACCAGGCAGGCCAAGCCCAGGACTCAGTGGCATGTAAAACACACCAAGTGCATGTACGTGGGTGTCCCAGATCGTGACAGGATAGAAAAATGGAGGAGAAGGGATTGCTGCGTGACCATGCCCCATTAAGTGATGCTTTCTCCCTCCCTCTCTCTGTTTCTCTCTGGTGAGTACATGCACCCTCTGGCAAAATAAAATAAAATAAAATAAAATAAAATAAAATAAAATAAAATAAAATAAAATAAAATAAAATAAAATAAAATAAAATAAAATAAAATAAAATAAAATAAAATAAAATAAAATGAGTACATGCACCCTCTGGCAAAATAAAATAAAATAAAATAAAATAAAATAAAATAAAATAAAATAAAAAGGCAACAAAAGAGATATGATATACAGAACAAGTACTTAGGCAGTATTCTGAATAACAGAAAGACCTGATTGAAGAAGGTAAGATTTGTGACTTCTGAAATATTTGGCTATAAAGTCAGAGAACAAGAGACTTGGGGACTGAATAAGTCTGGAAAGACTTCAAGGAAGAGGTGGAACTTGAGCTAGTTTATGAAAGATGTATGGGTCCATTTGGGCAGGGAGGATGGGGTGGTGATATTATAGAAGGAGAAGCAAAGAATGAGGTGGGATAATGAAAGTTATATTCAAGAATCAT